CACTGCGACTTTACATCCAGATTTAGCGAGGTTTAGTGTCTTTAGTCCAGCCGCGCAGTAGGATCCAGCCGCAGCCCCTCGCTGGGCCTCCCTCCCCCTCTCCCCCTGCAGTTCCCTGCCCACTCGCAAAGCTGCTTGCGGTGACTACATGGATCATTGGACATTGCCATTTGGCCGTTTCTGTCATCGTGCGATCGTGGTCTGGATCCTTCATCCTTTGGTTCAACATTGGTTTTGAAATTCCAAGACCGACCCTCACCTCTACTCTATTACAGCTGGTGGTCACGGGCACAGCATGGGTTGTGCGGTCGGAGGTGGTGCTTGCGGTGGCGCATTCAACTGTGCTGGTCCTCCTCTCGGGAATCGGTTATGTGCCTGTGCTCAGTCGGGAGATCTTGCTCTGGAGGGCTGCATATCTAGCCTCACTGGGAGCCTGCCTTTGGGTCATGAGGGCAGGGGCCAGGCATCCATCTCCTGTGGTGCATTCTTGGCAGCCAAGGAGCAAAGCACGCGGCCCTGGCCAGCTGTGGTGTGGCTGGGAAGCCGTCCGTGCTAAAGCCCGCACTAAAGATGCAAACAAAAGATGCGGGACCCACACTAAATGTACTGCAGCTGCCCGCACCTAAAGTGAACTAAATGTGGCGCTAAATTGGAGACAAAACACACTAAATATGTACTAAATTTGCGCTAAATTTGCGCTAAAGTCGCACTACACACGCACTCGAACACACACTAAATAGCGCACTAAACTATCACTAAAGTTCATTCACAGACGCAGGCGCCCTCCCGAAAGCTTGCGAGGCGTGAGTTCGCATTGGGCAGCAGACAGCAGGGTCTCACCCTCGGCCGTGGTCATGCTACGCGATTTCCTCCTCGCGGCGATTATTCCTCACGCCATTGCACTGCGCCCGATCGCGACGCGACCGCCGCCACACACCCGCAGCAGCCACGTCACCGCCTCGCTACCTCCACCCGCTGCATTGCCGAGCCTTCCTAGCCTAGCGGCCGCGAGCATTCTTCCGACGTGCCTCGGCTTCTGGAAGACGGGCTACGCCGTCTCGTATGGATACGGCGGAGCGATGCTCGCTGCCGGCGCGCTGACGCTGCGCTGCTCGGTGCCAGCCCTCGCTCAGGCGCACGCGCTCGCTCTCGTATTCTACGGGCTGCGCCTCAATCTGTTTCTCCTCTACCGCGAGCTGGCCCTGCCCGAGGAGATCCACCAGATGAAGAAGCGTGAAGCCTCGTTTGCGGGTCGGCTCAAGCGCGCGCCCGTCATTCTTGGCTGCTCGGCGCTCTATTACCTCATGGCCGCGCCACTTCGGATTTCGGCCGTGGCTCCGACCTCTGGCCCGGCGGCGGCCGCACTCGTCGCCTGCTCATTCCTCGGCTTTGGTATCGCCGCCTTGGGCGACACCATCAAGACGTACGTCAAGGCCAAAGAGGGCAAGGGCTACCTGGTCACCTCCGGGCCGTTCAGATACTTGCGCCACCCCAATTACACGGGCGAGCTCTTCGGATGGACGGCCAGCGCGCTGCTCGGCGCCCTCGTGGCCCTCTCGCAGGGCGCTTCTTTTGCGCGCAGCGTGCTGCCCTGGCTGATCGGCTCGGCCGTCGGCTGGGTGGGGATTCTATTCGTGCTGGCGGGGGAGGCGGCCGCGGGGCTTGAGAAGAAGCAAAAGGCCAAGTACGGAGGGACGCCAAAATACGAGGAGTGGGTCCAGGGCTCGTGGGCGGGGCCAGTGATCGCCATGGGAGGGTCGACTGATAAGTAGTATTACCAGTTGGTAATTCAGACTGTAGCGCATGTCTGTTGTATCGAGGGGTGAAGAAGAAGAGCGCGCGAGAAGGTTTTTGCTCGCCTTCCCTGGGACTCCGTGTTGCGTGACTGTCTCTGTGCGATTTCGGGCCTGGGGTTGTGCGTTTATGTGAAGAAGAAAAAATTGCTTTTGAAGAAAAACGGGCACGCATAGTCTCCCCCCTCCATTCTCTCCCCCTTGGCGTGGCGCGCCTCTCCCCCAGCTCTCGGTATCGCGTACTGCACGAGGCTACCGTGGGCCCCGCCTGCGCGCTGGGTGCGACGGTGTATCACTCTCAATTGGGGTTCCCTGCCCTGTCGGGAAGCCTAGCTCTTAACCTGGGGTCGCTACCTAATGCGGGGCGAATGAGTGATGAAGTTAGTGCCTTGGTGTCCGTTCCCCATGGTGGCTTCCCCTGGTCTCACGACCATGGAATGAGAGCTCTCACTCCCAGGGTACTCCCGCGTATCTCGGCTCCCTTATCCCCCCCCTCTTCCCTCCCCTTTCTCTCTCCGAGATGACCCGTGCGCTACGTGCCTAGGTTCGGTCCTCGGGGAGGGGGGATTGGCGGTGTGTCCTCGCGAGTTGTTTGTCGCTGGACGCCCGACAGCTTCGATTTCCCTCCTTAGCGCCCCGGGTAGAGCGTGGTCTCCCCTGGAGCCTGCCACGCCCGTTCTGTCTAAGCCCAGGGTTCAGCTTTCCAGTTGATCCTTATCGGACTGGTGAGTTCCTTCTCGCTGTCAGTGTGACGCCCCGGCAGTCATTGGCGGCGGTGCTACACACACTATGCCTGGATTCGTTTTCTCCAAAGGAGTGTTTTGTTTTGACAAGATTTTATGGGCTAGCTATCTCGCAGTACATGCGCACGAGCTTAGCGTATTGTTGCACTAATTTTCGCCATCGTGTTTTTCTTTTATGCTTATGGCAGTAAAAAGAACTGCGTGCGGCAGGCGCGGGCTCGGTCGATATCCCAGACTTCGACTCACATCTTCATTGCTGCGGTGTGTGCCCGGGGAGGCGCGGCAGCGGGGTGGATTGAGAAGGTCTCAGAATGCAGAGAAACTGCAGGCGTGGGCAGAGGCGCGCGCTGCAGTTTCTCTGATCGGGCTGCTGGCGGTGTGAGCGCGGGACGGTGTGGTGAGGCGTGAGGCAGGCTATTGTTGTGGGGTGCGGGCTGCGTCGTTAGGCGTATGCGTGCCTGGTGCTGTATGCTGTGTGTGCAGGCAGGCTGGCGGTCTGTGCAGCAGAGAGCAGATGAGCGCGCGCGCGCGCTCGTGCGGGCGTGCGTGCGCGCAGCGTGCCACGCGCGCGCCTCGTGCAGTGCAGACAGGCGCGAGGCGGCAGGGGCGCAGTGCGGAGCACGCGGGCTGAGCTGTGTGTGCAGGCAGGCTGACAGGCTGTGGAGCAGACTGAGCGGATGAGCGCGCGTGCGAGCGCGTGCGGGTGCGTGCGTGCGTGCGCGCCTTGCGTGGTGCAGGATCTGTGTCGTACTCGCGGCGCGTCCGAAAGGGAACAGCCGCTTGTGAGATGCCAGAAGCAGTGTGCAGAGCCTGCACAGGGCGCAAAAAGGCGAGGTAGTGCTGGTGAGGTGTGCTGCGGCGCGCGCGTCGCGGCGTGAGTGGATATGCGGCTTGCTCTGGTGGTGCGAGGGGCGCGTGGCTGGTGCGGGCGGCGCGGGACGGCCATGGGGCAGACGCACATGACACAGGCTTCTGGGCGCTACGCGTGTGTTTGCGTGCGCGCGGGGACGTACGCGCAGTTTTCACGCGGTGTGCGTGGAGAAGGGCAGGAGGGGCGCCGGCCGCGCGTGTATTGGCGTGTGAGAGTGCGTGGTGCCCGAAGGCGAGAAGGGGCCCGAAGGCAGGGAAGAGTCTTCCGCCTCGCAACAACGAGGCTTGAAAGAAACTTCTTTTCTGTTGAAGAAGAGAGAACTTGGTGCACTTGGTCTTGGAGCACTTGGAGTGCAGTCGGTAGCCTCACATCCAGGGCCGGGGTGCGGGGAGCTAAGAAGCGCACCCACGGGGCCGGATGATCGGGATCGGGTTGCGGGCAAGAGAGCCCTAGCCCTGGGGGGTGCGCGTTCGCAGGGAAAGAAAGGAAGGGAAGGGGCGCGCGGATTTTCTTTTCCGCCGCTGCCGTCGCAACCTCACCGCACTCGACACTAGGCACGGGACTGGCACTACAAATGCCGGTGCTGCACGACGTCGTCAACTGGCTCCGGCGCCAGCGACAGGAGCTGATCGATCAGCCCGGCAGCAAGCCGCTGCGTGCAGCGCTCGCGATCGGTGCCGGGCTCGTCGCCGCAGCGATACACTCGGCTCGGCAGCAGCGGCGAGCGCTCGGGCTGGAGGTGCCGATGTCGACGTTGATGCGGCAGGTGGAGAGCGGGCTGGTGAGCACGGTGAGCATCGCCGCGGGCGCGTGCGCCTACCGCCTCCACAACGGCCAGATCTACCGCGCGCAGCTGCTGCCGGGCGAGACGCGCTCGCTCGTCAAGCTGATGCACGCACACCGGGTGGAGTTCCGCGCGCTCGGGCCGGCCGCGTGGAAGTCGGCGGTGGTGCTGCTGCTCCCGTTCGCCTACCTCGGCGTGTGCGGCTGGCTCCTCTTCCGCCTCACCTCTGACCTCGGAGGCGGCCAGGTCGAGTTGCCGGACGCTGCCGCGCCGACAAACGACTCGGCGCGCGTCACCTTCGAGGACGTGGGCGGCATGCCGGCGGCCAAGGCGCAGCTGCAGGAGGTGGTCGACTTCTTCCACAGCCCCGAGCGCTGGGCGCGGCTCGGCGCGCGCCGGCCGCGCGGCGTCTTGCTCACAGGAGAGCGCTCTCCCTCCGCACAGCTCTCCCTCCGCAGCTCTCCCTCCGCGCTCTCTCCTCCCCAGCTCCTCTCCAGCTCCTCTCCAGCTCCTCCCCAGCTCCTCTCCAGCTCCTCCCCAGCTCCTCTCCAGCTCCAGCTCTCGCTACCGTGTCTCCTCCGCAGCTCTCTCCCCCACCTCCCCGCCTCTCCTCCCATCTCTCGCCCTCGCGCCGGCGAGGTCCGCGCAGCGGCCGAGTGCGCCACCCTCGCCTCACGCCGCCTCACGCTTCCTCACGCCGCCTCACGCTTCCTCGCCTGCCTCACGCTTCCTCACGCCGCCTCACGCTTCCCCACGCCGCCTCACGCTTCCTCACGCTTCCTCACGCCGCCTCGCTCTGCCGCGCCGCAGGCCCGCCAGGCACGGGCAAGACGCTCCTCGCCAAGGCAGTGGCCGGCTCGGCGGGTGTGCCCTTCCTCGCGTGCGCGGGTTCCGAGTTCGTCGAGGTCTTCGTCGGGCGCGGCGCGCGGCGCGTGCGCGGCGTCTTCGAGGCGGCGGCGCGCCTGGCGCCGTGCGCGGCAGCCATCCCTCGGCGAGGTCGACGCGAGATCGCGCGAGGTGACGCGAGGTTGGGCGAGATGGTAGGTGCGTTCTCTTCATCGACGAGATCGATGCGCTCGGCTCGAGGCGCAACGAGGGCGCCGGCGGCAACGAGGAGCACGACCACACGCTCAACCAGCTGCTCGCGCTGATGGACGGCTTCGGCGCGAGACACTTCCGAGACACCTCCGAGACACCTCCGAGACACTTCGGAGACACTTCCGAGACACTTCCGAGACACTTCCGAGACACTTCCTAGGGGTCAAGCTCAAGGAGAGTCAGCCAGTCTTAAACATGTCCTAGCACGGACGACGGGGCACACGCACCCTCGCGGAACACACACACGGGGCAGACCCGCGAGGCGTTCTGTCGCATCGGATCCTCGCGCCGAGAGCACCCGAGAGCACCCGAGAGAGCCCGAGAGCACCCGAGATCACCCGAGAGTAGGCGCGTCGCACCAGATCCTCGTCATCGGCGCGACCAACCGGCTCGCCGCCCTCGACACGGCGCTCACCCGCCCGGGCCGATTCGACCGCGTGGTGCCGCTGCCGCTGCCCGATTCGACGGGACGCTTCCACATCCTCTCGGTCCACTGCCGAAAGTGCCCCGTGGCCGAGCCGCGCGAGACGATCCTCCGCGTTGCCACCGAGACGGAGGGCTTGTGCGGCGCCGAGCTGGCCAACCTCGTCAACGAGGCCGCGATCCGAGCCACGCGCCGCGCCGCCACCTGCGTCGAGGCGGTCGATTTCGCAAGCGCGCTCGCCGACTACCGCGCGTCTCGCCTGACGCCGCCCGCCGCCGCGGCGGAGGCGGTGAACGGCCAGTGGGCGCTCCCCCTCGCAGCGATGCTCTCGCAGCTCTCGGCGGCCGCGGCAGCACCCGCCTCAGCATCCGCAGTGAGTGCCATCGACTGAGAGCTCGCACGGGCGTGCGACAGAGGCGTTCAGTGATCAGTCCCCTGGTGCGGTGTGCGCCCTGTATATCCCGCCCTTTGCGCGTCATCAAACTTATCAGAAGCACCATGTAAAATAATAAACACCGGTCCGTGCGCGCGCGGTGCCTCTCTCGAGCGCGCGAAAAAGAGACGTCTCGCCGGCGCCTGCAGCCTGCACGATCGTTCGGCGCGTTGAGGCGAACCGGAACGCTCTACGCCTCTAGGTCTAGCGCAGTAGAGTGGTGCCCGCACCGCACGGCCCGAGCCCGCGCCCTCAGTTCCATCACTGCTGCCCGACGAGGTCAAAGTAAACGCCGCCGGGGCCAATCTGCAGCAGCTCGTCGTGGGTCCCCTGCTCGACAACCTTGCCGCGCCTCACCACGGCGATCTTGTCGGCGTTGCGGATGGTCGAGAGCCGGTGCGCGATCGTGATGGTCGTGCGCTTCTGCTTGGCCATGAGCTCGTCGAGCGCTGCCTGCACGATGCGCTCGCTCTCGTTGTCGAGCGCGCTCGTCGCCTCGTCGAGCAGCATGATGGCGGGCTTTCGCACCAGCGCGCGCGCGATGGCGACGCGCTGCTTCTGCCCCCCGGAGAGCTGCCCGCCGCGCAGCCCCACTTGGGTGGCGTAGCCGTCGCCGAGGTCGTTCGTGATGAAGGTGTGCGCGTTGGCCGCGACCGCCGCCTCCTCGATCTCGCTCTGCGTGGCGCCCTCCTTGCCGTAGCCGATGTTCTCGGCCACCGTGCCCTCAAACAGCACGGGCTCCTGCCCCACCATCCCAATCTGCTGGCGGAGCCACCGCAGGTTGAGGCTGCGGATGTCTGCGCCGTCGAGCAGCACGGCGCCCGCCTGCGGGTCGTAGAAGCGTTGCAGCAGCGCGACGATCGTGCTCTTGCCAGAGCCGCTCGGGCCGCACAGCGCGACCGTCTGCCCCGCCTCAATCTCGAGGGAGTAGCCGCGGCAGGCAGGCCGGTCGAGAGCCGTCGGGTAGGCAAACACGACGTCGCGGACCGAGATCTCGCCGCGCACGGGCGGCAGCCGCTCGCCCTCGGCCGAGGTTGGGTCGATCAGCGACGCCTGGTCGAATCGCTGGAAGAGCTCCTTGGCGGCCTTGGCCGCGGCCTTTGCGTCGGTGGCCATCATGGCGTGGCCCGAGGCCAGGAAGGTGACCATCATCGTCGCGATGATTGGCACCATGATCTTGTCCATGATGAGCATCGACGAGCTGTCGCAGCCGGCCTCGGCCGCGCCGAGCGCCCCGACCGACGCGAGCCACAGCCCGTAGAAGATCTGGGCGCCCATCATCGAGTAGACGATGGCGAAGGCGAGGAAGAGGCCCACGCCCGCCTGCACCGCCTTGCGCTTCCCGACCGCGAGCAGCTTGTCCATCTGCTTGCAGTAGTCCTCATAGAACTTGACCTCGGCGTTGAAGGAGGCGACGGTCCGGATCCCGAGCACCACCTCGCCAATCACCGCGCCGGCCGACTTCTTGACCTCGTTGTCGTTGTCCTTGCTCGCCTGCTTTGCCTGGTCCATCGGCATGGCCGCCTGCATCGCGATGCCCATGGTGACGCCCATGATCGGAAGGCAGCCGAGCGTGACCAGCGCGACGCGCCAGTCGCCCCAGTAAAACATGGTGAAGAGCATCGTGCCGATCAAGAAGAGAAACTTTGTGATTGCGCCGAGCTGCTCGCCGACGAGCCCCTGCACGAGCGCCACCCTCGCGCCCAGGAACTCGGTCAGCGCGCCCATCGTGTTGGCCTCGTAGTCGAAGTAGCCGACCTCCATCCGCAGCAGCTTGGCCATCAGCGTGGTGCGCAGCGCCGTCGTCAAGTGCTCGCCGGTGATGCCGAGGGTCGTCGCCGAGATGAACTCGAAGGCGTGCTGCCCGAGGCCGACGGCGATGAAGATGAGGCCCCACAGCACGCCCTCGGACTCGACCTTGTCGGGCGATGGGTAGCTCAGCGCCGTGAGCGAGCGGACGAAGAGCAAGCCGAGCAAGCCCTGCACGATACCCGTGACCGCGGCGCACGACACGCCGATGACGTAGAGGTAGCGGTCGCTCTTTGGCGACATTTGGAGCAGCCGCCTCACCGGCCCCTGCTTCTTCTGGCCCGCCGCTGCGGCCGCAGCCTCCTCCTCCGCCGTCTCGACCACCGCCTCGACGATGCCGAGCGACGCCCCGATCGAGCTCGTCTGGTGCAGCGCCTTGAGCCCCTCCACCACCTCAACGTGGCGTACGCTGATGGAGTCCTCCACCTGCGAGGCCTCCGCCGCCACGCGCATCACCTCGACGTCCTTGGCCTGGTTCGCCTGCTGCTTGGCGGCGAGGCCGTGGAAGACGCCGCCCTCCCCGACGGCGAGCAGGTCGTCGTACGTCCCCTCCTCCACGATGACGCCCTTCTGGACGACGGCGATCTTGTCGCAGTACTTGATCGTCGTCAGCCGGTGCGCCACCGTGACCGACGTGAAGTGGCTCTTCCTCATGATGTCGTCGAGCGACGCCTGCACGATGCGCTCGCTCGCGTTGTCGAGCGCCGACGTCGCCTCGTCGAGCAGCAGGATCGCCGGCTGCTTGATGACGGCGCGCGCGATGGCGATGCGCTGCTTCTGGCCGCCCGACAGCTTGCCGCCGCCCAGGCCCACCTGGGTGTCGTAGCCGTCGCCGAGGCTCTCGACGATGAAGTCGTGCGCGTTCGCCGCGCGCGCCGCGGCCTCCACCTCCTCGCGGGTCGCCTTGTCCTTGCCAAGCGCGATGTTCTCTGCGATGGTGCCCATGAAGAGCATCGGCTCCTGCCCGACTAGCCCGATCTGCCGGCGCAGCGCCTTGACGTTCATCGCCCTGAGGTCGACGCCGTCGATGAGCACCGACCCCGAGAGCGGGTCATAGTACCGCTCGAGCAGCTGGATGAGCGTCGACTTACCCGCACCCGACGGGCCAACCAGCGCGCACGAGGTGCCGGCCGGGATGCTCAGCGAGTATCCGTTGCAGATGAGGTGGTGGGGCGCGGTGGGGTAGGCGAAGGTGACGTCCTTCACCTCGATGGCGCCCTTGAGCACGACCGTGAGGCCCTCCTCCGAGAAGGCGTCGATCGTCGGCACGCGCGCCACCACCTCGAGCACGCTGCGGCACGCCGTGACGCCCTTGATCAGCGCCTGCACTGGCCCCGCCAGCTGCGAGAGGCCAAAGGCGCCCTGGAAGACGGCCTGCGTGGCGATGTAGATGGCGCCGAGCCCCAGCGCGCACTCGACGCTCCTGCGGCGGCGGGGCGGGAGCATGTGGCGAGGGCGGTGGCGAGGGCGGCGGCAGGGGCGGCGGTGTGACGCTCCTGTCGTAGCTGTTGGGCGGGAAGAGCTCGTCGTAGCTGCTGTCGGCAGGGTCGCCGTCCACGAACTGGTTCCAGAACAGCGTGTCGTCGCCAAAGAACCGGGTGAATGCGCGCTCCCCGATGACCTGCGCCGCCGTGCTGCAAGTGAACTTGAAGTTCTCGAGGGCCTCGCCAGTAGTCGCGCTCGTGCGGTCTGCGCACGCCGCACCAACGCCGTCAGCCTGATCTGGCTGGGTGGTGTCGACGAGGAACAAGTCGTACGAGTCGCAGCTCTCGGCGCAGTAGTTCCTCGCGTCACCCAGCAAGGCGGTGTAGTCCACCGTGGTGTCACGGTACTCGGAGACGAGCAGCTGGCACGCCAGCAGAATCCCAGAGGCCATCACGTAGTAGACGGACGCGTTCATCGTGGAGAGGGCTGCAAAGATCTTGGTCGAGAGGCGGATGGCCGCGCGCTCGGCGTTGGCGAGGTTGGCATCGTACCGCTGCAGAGACCTCTCCTCGAGGCCGAGCGACGCGACCGTGCGGATCGACGAGAGCACCTCGGAGGCGACGCCGCCGGCGCCTGCGTACGCGTCGGCCAGGAGCTTGGTGCGCTGCTCGAGGTAGTAGAGGAGCAGTGAGACGGAAGGCAGGTAGGCGACGATGGCCACGGCGAGCGTGACGAGGGCGACAGCCCACGACTCGCGCAGCGAGATGTAGAGCCCCACGGTGATGGACCCGATGGTTGTGAAGATGTTGGCGTTGGATAGGTGAAGCGCCTTCTCGATGTAGACGATGGACTCACCCATGCGCGTCGAGAGCTCCTGCGGCTGGTTGACGTCGTACCAGCCGACGTCCTGCCGGAGGATCGACTTTAGGTACTCCTTCTTCCAACGCGTGATCTGACGGTTCTTGGAATAGTCGAGCAGCAGCGCCGCGATTCCTTGGCAGCCGCCAATACCCAGGCCCCAGTACGTCATGTTGACGAGGAGCATGATCCCGAGATCATAGTAGTTTGTGGTCGAGTTCAAGTCGAAGAAGTCGGCAAACGTCACCAGGGCGAGGACCTGCAGTGCTCCGAAGCCGACCATAAAGGCGCAGCCGGCGACGATCAAGAAGGCATCGAACCGAGTAGCAAAGAAGAAGAGCGAACGCAGGAAGGAGCGGCGGCGCTGCTGAGGCGGGTCGTCTGGCGACTGCCTCGAAGGCGTCTTGCGTCTCGGCTCCGCAGAAGAACTGCGCATTTTCGGAGGTGGAGCGTGCGGAAGAGAGGTGGGCTCGGTGTGGTACGGTGGACGCGGCACGGGGAAGCCGTCGGGGCTCGGGAAAGGATGTCGGGCACCAAAGCCGAGAAGCCGTAAAGAATTCCGTCGCCTAGTGCTCCAAGTGCTCCGTCAACGTTCTAGGGTGGGCGACGGATAGCGCACCACACACCTCTCCTTAAAATCCCTGTGTGGTGGCGGCGTGCCGTCCTCCCATCCCTCCCTTGGGTTGTCTGTTTTCTTTCTTTCTTTCTTTCCGTCAACGTTCTTCACCTTCCTGTTGGCTGAGTGTCTTGTCTTGTGGTTCTGTGTGTCGCTCCTGTGTGGCCGTCATCGCCCGTCCTGCGTCCACCCATACCGCGTTGGTGTCCCAGTCGTTGGGAGAGAGAGATTTTTTATTAATTCTTGTCGTTGGTCGGACTGAGATCTGATTTTTAGCAATACCAAACAACTCTAACACTCACACGTAATTTGGGGCCTGGAGCCCTGTTCACGCGCGCGCGAGACTG